TGTTCTCCCTCTTTCCCCCCTTCCTTCCCCTGTCCCCCCCTTCTTCCTTTCCCCCGTCCCTTCCCCCCTCCTCTCCTTCCCTCTCCCTCCCATCTCCTTCACCTACCCCTTCCCTCTTCTTCTCCCTCCTCTCCTTTCCCACCGTCACTGTTGTCCTCCTCTTCTTGATCGTTTTCCTGCAGAGATACGCGCGCAACGACAAGAAGTCCAAGTTACCATCATGGATTAGACAGTACACTCATGACACTCATGTCAACCTTTCTACCGACATGGCTGGTCTGTTTGAAACCTTGCACTTGTCTCTTGAGAGCTCTGTGTATGATTTCAATCTCGTTTTTGTCTTAATGATGATCTCAATATCTTTTGGATGTCTTCGTCATGATCTCAATCTCGTCTTCGTTGTATCCCTTTGCTCACATCGTTTCTCATGGCAGTCAACGCAGCCAAGGAGTTTCTGGCCAAGATGGCAGTCCCACAGAGCATTGAGAGTCAGGTGCGCGAGAAATCCTGCTCTTTGCATCTTACATCTTGACACCACCAAATCTCGATTTTGACATCTTGAATCTTGAAACTACATCTTGAAACTACGTCCTGAAACTGCATCTTGAAACTACTTCTTGAAACTACATCTTGAAACTACATCTTGAAACTACATCTTGAAACTACATCTTGAAACTACATCCTCTCACTAAGTCTGTCACTGACACTGAACATCTCAGGTCGGCACTGTCCTGCTCTCCCTCGAAGACATTCAGGTTGTCCTGTCGCTCCTACCGAATTCGCTGATTTGCTGAAATTCTCTCAGGGCGATGGAGTGACCCCTTGTCCTGTCGATCCAAAGTACCACACTCTCCTCCTCCTCCCTTCCCCTCCTCCTCCTCCCTTCCCCTCCTTCTCCTCCCTTCCCGCGCCCCCTTCCCTACGCCAAAAACGCCGACTCCTCCTCCTGCCTTTCTCACTCAAGCCATCCCCCCTGCTCGCGTCTCCCTCCTCTACCCCATTTCATCTCCTCCTCTCTTTCTCTTGTCTGCTTGCCCCGTCCCCCACATCGCTCTCTTCCCTCCCTCCCACTCGATTCCCTTTGCCCTTTGCATCTCACCTCTCCCCCTTCCCTCTCTCCCTCCCTCCTTCCCTTTCTCTCTCTCTCCCTTTCTCTCCCTCCCTCCATACCTCTCCCCCTCTCTACCTCGCTGTCTCTTCCTCCCTCTCCCTCCCCGCTCTCTACCTCGCTGTCTCTTCCTTCCTCTCCCTCCCCGCTCTCTACCTCGCTGTCTCTTCCTCCCTCTCCCTCCCCGCTCTCTACCTCGCTGTCTCTTCCTCCCTCTCCCTCCCCGCTCTCTACCTCGCTGTCTCTTCCTTCCTCTCCCTCCTCGCTCTCTTGTTTCTTGTCCGTCTGCTCATTCTCGGATGATCAGGAAAGCGCTGGAGGAAGACAGAGCCAAGAAGAAGGCCAAGACGACGTGAATTTTGAGCGTTATCTTCATTAGCTTCCAGAATCCGACTTGAAAAATTGAAACTTTCTGCTGAAGGTTTCAAGTGAATTCTGATTCCTCCATCATCAGCCTCCCGTTTCACTCCTGTCGTTCTAGTGAGAGAGCGTCTCCTGCCCACGCCCACTGATCGCTGGTAGAGAAGCCCTGCATGCAAGCTCCCACGTCAGCTACCAGGAGTAGAGGCGGCGACGGAGGAAGAACGAGGAGGAGGCACGAGGACGAGGACGAGGACGAGAAGGAGGCACGAGGACGAGGACGAGGACGAGGACGAGGAACGAAAAGGAACGAGCGAGAAGGAATGAGTAGGAGCGAAAAGGAGGGGAATGGGGAGGAAGTGGAGGAGGAGCAGGATGAGGAGGAGGAGCAAGAGGCTCACATGAGGAGTGGAGACGGAGGAGGTCGAGTTCTCAGCTTGCACAGAAGATCTCAACGGCCTGAGGCATCTCGTCAGGCTCTCAGACATGCTTCACAAACTTCTTCACATCTTGGCCAGGGCCGCCAGCCGTTCCATCTTGATCCTCTCCTGCTCCCGGTCGTAGGCTGTCACCCCAAGTCACCTCGGGCTCTTCCTCCCTCCCTCCCTCATCATCCCCAACCTGTCAGCCCAGCAAACGCATCGTCTCCCGCAGAGCTGACGATCTTCTCCTCGTCGTACTCCAGAAACTCCTTGAACGCGTCGCTGTGCGCAACCACAGGGCAATGCGCGAGGCTGTTGATGTACATCTCGAGCCGCCACCTCCTGTGCTCCACGAACGAGGGGCTGTTGGACAGGAAGAAGTTCTTCTCCGGCAGCGGCTCCCGCCCCTCCAGGTCTGCCTCCGAGAACGTGGCGATGAGCCTCCTCTCGAAGTTGACGAAGTCCCGGAAGCGCTTGGCGACGTCCCACTTGTGGCCCGCGGCGTTGACGCAGAACACGTACTCGGTGTACTCGGTAGGGAAGCACATGAGGGCTCTGCTTCCTCGGTGCTGCTCCGGTTGTTTAGCGTACACGACAACGGGGGGAGCGATGTGCCCGAACGCTGCTACTCCCTGAAGAACCATCCGTCTCCAGAACAACAATGTACGATCACTCCTCTTCTTCTGCCTCCTCCTCCTCCTCCCTGCTTCTGTCCCTTGTTCACGAAAGACTCTGTTCTCAGCAAGACGACTCTCCGCTTATCATTGCGAACAACTTTCACGGGGGAGATAATGTCCAAGCAAGCATAGGGGATACCTGGAAACCAATTAGCAGACTGATAATATCGATGAAGAAGCTCAAAGAAGGCTTGCAAAAGACACGGAATTATCATGCTCACTCTTTACTTTACCCTTCTGCTACCCTTTCCTTAATAGTTCTTGCTCGTTGCTTCATCTCCCTGACTGACTGTGTGATTTGTAGTCTCCTTGTTTCCTTCTGCCTTCCCTCTGGTCTACTCCATCTTCTCCTCTTTACATCCTCCCTTCATCTTCTCTTCTTTGCCTTCCTTTCCCTTCCCCTGCCCCCTGCCCCCCCCCCCCCTCCCCTCCCCTCCCCATTCCTGTCCTTACCTCCTTTCCTTTCCCTTCCCCTCCCTACCATACCATTCTCTTGGCTGCTCTCCTGTCCTATCCTATCCTCCCTCCCCTCCCCTCCCTTCCTCGTCTCCTCTCCTCCCCCCTCCCCTTCCTCCTCCCCTCCCCTCCTCTCGCTCCGCTTGATTTCGTCATCTCCCTTGTCCCTTCTCTGGCGGAAAATGAACCCTCGTCCCCTCGCATTTGAAAATCATCCCCCTCATTTCCATTGTAACCGTTGAAACGGCGTCTCTAACGAACTCGGAAGAAACAATGACTAGCACGTCAAGGCCTGCAAGCGGGCAATGAAAGATTTGAGTCGACGGTCACCACACTGCAAGCGGCACTGATGATGGGGAGGAGGATGCGTCCTGGGGTCGTGCGGAAGATGAAGGTGCTCAGAGTTGCAGGCGGTCATTTCGAGCCGCAGGAGCTGACGTAAACGTTGACGTGAATACAGGTAGACGAGATTTTCCTCGTTGCCACGAGCTATGCGGTGACGTTGCCTTGAGACCCGTTGTTGTGTGACTCGCGCTGTTCTGAGAGCCTCTCCATGGTTTGCAGGGAAGATTCCAGACCCCCTGCCACGTCGCTCTGGACAAGCTGGGAAACATCTTCTCATCAGGTGATGGGGTGCTGCTGGGGGTGTAGGTGAGCACATAGGCTAATTCCTCAGTAGATGCATCATCTGAGACCATCAGAGTGTATCGAGGACAAGACGGGACTCTAATCTCGAAGATACGCCTGAAAGACTCTCTGAAGGACCAGTCCCCGTCGACTGTCAAGTGCATACAGGGGCTGGTTCTTGATGACGAGGAGAACATATACGTTGTCGATGGCTTCAACCACAGGTTGCGACCTCCCATGGCGTGAAAGTTGTGCTGAAGGCTACATGCTCCAGGATATTGCTGCTCAGGAGCGACGGCAGTCTCGTTCGGGAACTTGGCGTCAGTGAAGGTTCCAGCCTGATGATTCATAGCTCATCGTGACTGACATCGAACGTTTGGCATGAAGATGGAAGGCCAATGCTGTCCTTCCCGAAAGGGATCGACTTGGCGGACGGTGGGTTCATTTATGTTGCAGACGGTAAGACCTGCTGCTGCTCACAGGAGCGTTGAGACCCTCCTGTTCTCAGCCGGGAACAAGCGTGTGGTGGTGATGGATCGAGGTGGGAGGTTTGTCAGGGACATCCAGTCGCCACAAGAGATGTGCAACCCCTGTGCTGTTTGTGTTGACGAGATCGGATTCGTCTATGTGGCCGATGCAGGACTTAGCAGGTAGCATTTGCCTTGTAAGAAAAAAGGTTGGACTGATTGATGTGTCAGCGTCTTTGTCTTCGATGTCGACGGAGAGCTGATCAACGAGTTCGACGGATCAAGTGTGCTAGCCATCAGTGAATGTAGAAGACATTCTGAGATGTTCTTCGAAGCTAGCGAATACGAAGGCGCGCATGTCGGAGAAAACAAGCTTGTTTGCCCACTGTCAATCACACTGGGCAACGACGGTCTCCTCTACATATGTGATGGTATACCGCGTCAAGAATCAGGGAAGAATGGCTGACTCAAAGTTGTTTCGTAGAAGGTGCGCATGACATCAAGGTCTTCACCAAACAGGGGCATTTCGTCAAGAAGATAGGCAGACACGAGTTTGAAAGTTGCGCGAGATTAGTTGACTCTTGATGTGCAGGCTCTGCTGGCAGAGGGGAAGGTCAGGTCAGTAAGACGAGGAAGAGGAGGGAGGATCAGTAAGAGGATGAAGAAGAGGACGAGGACGAGGAGAAAGGATCAGTGAGAGCAGAATCAGGAGGAGTGACAGTCTGATCAGGTGGTGGTGGTGGTGGTGGTGGTGGTGGAGGAGGAGGAGGAGGAGGAGGAGGAGGAGGAGGAGGAGGAGTCAGTTCTCAATTGAATTCCTCTTCAAGTTCTTCAGACCGACGGATTGCAAGGTTGATGCAGTTGACAACCTTGTGATTGCAGACTTTTACAACAACAGGTGCGTGTGTCTGAAATCGGTGCATGCTGCTGGCTTAATAGAGGCTGTAGGATTCAGATTTTGACAGTAAAATGCGTCCGCATTGCATTGATTGGACTACTGAGTGAACTATTGCACGCCGGTCGGAATCGGCGGCGGGGCCGGGAGTCAGACCGGTTACCGGCCCGCGGGCCCGGCCCGCCACCGGGTCACCGGGTGATCGGATCCGATCGGACGGTCAAACGGCGACTGAACACAACCGTTATTCTTGACGTTATATCCGTTATTCACGATAACGGCTGCCGACACATCAGCCATGGTGATAGCGAGGGATCATGGGAGGAGAGGGAGAAAGAAGAGGAGGGGAAAGATGGAAGTGAGGGAGGAGACTTGAAGGGTTGGAAACGCATGCAAGACTCGTTGATGCTTCTTGCTCAGGCAAAACATTCTGCTTACAATGATGTGAAAGTCGGAAGCTCTTGCGGTGAATACACCACTCTCCCTCCCTTTCCTCTTCCTACTCCCCTCTCCTCCCACCACTTTCACACCTCTATAAACTCTATTCCCTTTTCCTTTCTTTCTACCTCTGTCTCTCCATCTCACTCTGTCTCTGTCTCTGTCTCTCTCCCTCTCTCCCTCCCTCCCTCTCTCCCTCCCTCCCTCCCTCCCTCCCTCCCCCCTCTCCCCCCCCTCTCTCCCCCCGTGTATATATTCAGTCTCTCAGCGAGTCAAAACAAGACATCTTTGATGGTCATTTTCACCAGGAGCAAGTTTGCTGCCCTTCCGAACAACTTGCAAGGGCCCCGTGAACAAGACGATCGTAAGATCAGCCTGATGCTCGAACTTGTGCTGACAGAAGTATCGTAAGGTAATGGACTTGACCGAAGATGCGATGGACATAGTAGACGAGGCCATCACATATTACCGGGCAAACGTCTTCTTTCGCAACTATGAGATTCAGGTTGCGAAGAGGCTCCATGGCTTCCAGCAACTGAATGTGATGGCAGGGTGGAGCGGATCGTATCCTGGTCTACCTCACCTTGTGAGCTGAGGAGGAGGGGATGGACGTGTTGGTGGTTGTTCGGAGGGCGGAGAGGAGTTGCCAGGAGGAAAGGAGTCTGCTACAGATGATGATGCAGAGGAGGAGGAGGAGGAGGAGGAGGAGAGGCTGAAGCAGCTTTCGCAGGTACATATCTTCCTGCCTCGCAAGGATCGAGAGATGCGAATCTCAGAAGGACGCGGAGAAAGTCTTGCAGGTTCTTGATCAGCTCCTCCTCTCCCCCCCCTTCTCTTCATCCCTCTCTTCCCACTGCTCCATCAAGTCCCTCTCTACAACCTCCATCTGCAGTCTTGATCACCTTTCTTCTTCCTCTCCTCTCGTGCAGACAGCATTGATCCCTGATGCACCAAGAGAGACTGACGGGTGCCGAAGGCATACGCATGGGAGAGCTTCCCTCTTCCCGGACAGAGCGGGTTTCCTTTCAACGGATTCTTCACCAAGGAAGGGGATGAGAGGAGCGCAGCGCGTGTGTGACTCTGATACAGGCAAACACCAACGATGAGGCGGAGATGTTCAAGGCGTACTTCAAGCAGCTCAGGTCCTGATGGGCGACTTGCACATGTCAAGGCTGACGAGGGTGCAGGGAGGAGACAGGGAAGAGACTGACAGAGGTGAGGAGGAACAAAGTCGGGAGAAGGATGGGAGAAGGATGAGGAAACGGCGGGTGGGGTAAAGGAAGAGGGAGGGGGGGATGCGGGGAGGAGGAGAGGAGGATGTTTGGGGAGGAGGCACACAGTGAGGAGGAGGAAGTGGAAGGAGGACGAAGCTGAGGCGGTGAGCTTGCAGGTTGTCTTTGCTCATGGAGGAAGGCCGAACAAGTTTTGGGTCTGCTTCTCAAAGAGGAAATTCATGAACCTGTCGCTCGATAGAGCATGAGCGCAGGCGACGAAATCTACTGACGGAGTTGAAGGCGACTGGATAGTGAAGAGAGCAAACAGGGAAAGAGGCAGGGGAGGAAAGTTGAATTGAGGGATAATTTGGGTGGGAGGAGGAGGAGATTGGGCATAGAAATAGGAGAGGAAAATGCGCGCAGACCTTATGATCTGAAATGGAGTGCAGACAAGTTTCAAATGATAGTTTTCGAGTTTTGTATACAGATTCATCCATCTATTGCCCCTGCTCTTGTTCCTGCCCCTGCTCTTCCCCACCTTGCCCTCCAGCTTCGGATTCTTGGCACCAAGTTGCATTCCTTCCCTGACAGAGGACACTCTTGGGCATCGGGTCTTTCCAGAGAGGTTCTTCCTCTTTCTCCTCCTGCTGCTCCTCATCTTGCGACTCCTCTCCCTCCGCATGCTCCGCTCCCTGATGTCCTTCGCCAACTCCCTCCTCCTCTCCCTCCCCTGCCTGCTTGTCGTCCTCGTTGTCCTCGTCGTAGTCCTGATTCTCCTGCATGTCGGCTGACCAAAACCCGGCTGGTACTTCATGGTGATGCAGCTCGTCCTCTCTCACCTGCTCCTGCGACCTGCCAGGCTCCCATCCATCCACGTTCAGCCCGTTCTCCACCAGCTTCTGCTTCCCCTGGTCTTCAGTCAGCCCAAGGTCCTCGTCGACGCTGTTGACCAGGTCCTCGGAGTTGGGGTTTTTCCACCAAGAGGCGTACCACGCCTCCTGCGTGCTCCCTGCACCTCCAAGGCCCCCAACTACGGAAGGCTGGTACTCGTGGGCAGGCTGCTCCTCCTGCTGGTCCATGAGACCGTTCAGATGCTCCGTGTGGTTCCTGTCGGCCTCAGTCTCCTCGAGGCTAGCACGAGTCCTCAGCTCCTTCCTGTGAGCCGTTCCTCCCACAGGGTCCAGGTATTTCCCGGCGTATCCTCCTCTCATGTTGATGGGAAGCAGCATCTCCTCGCTCAGCATCTGCGTCCTTGCTCCCTTGCCCTTGAGCTTCGCGTCCTTCCTCGTTGAACCAGCTGTCTTGGCCTGGACCACCTTCCCTCCTGCCAGCCTTGCCTGCAGCTCATCTGCCGCTTGCCGGACAGCCTTTCCGTCCACCCCGTTGTCCATACCCGTGACGGAGTCCAGAACATCGTCAGCTGGAGGGGAGGCAGAGCTGATCACACGATCCTGCAGAGCCTTCGCCGCGTTCTGAACGGCCTTACGGTCGATCGCGTTGTCCATCATACTCATCGAGTCCAGCACGTCGTCGTCGCTGTTGCTGGTCATGCCGATCTTCCTGGACTGCAGCTGTTCAGCCGCTTTCCGCACAGCCTTCACGTCTACTCCATTGTCCATGCCTGTCGTAGAGTCTAGGACATCGTCCTCCGCCTTGGCAGTGGGTTGATGATCCTGAATAACTTGATCTCGGAGCTCGTCCGCCGCAGCCTTTACAGCTTCCCTGTCGATGGCGTTGTCCATCATGCTCACCGTGTCCAAGACATCGTCTTCGGTTGCCTCCTGCTTCGATTTGTCGAAACTCTGGATCCGGCTGTTCGCAAGGTCCCTTGCAGCGTTCCTGACAGCATCCTGGTCGATGCCAGCATCGAGATCTTCTCTGGAGTTCAACACGCCAGCGTCATCCTGCTTCACTTGAGCCCTCTCATCACTATCAGGAACAGGGTTCGACGACACCACGGGTGCCTTGTCCTCTTCCTCGGCTGACTTGCTCACTGCGGGTCCGCCGATGGCGAAGTCATATCGCCCTCCTGGCAGCTCAAGGCGATCCATCTTGATCTTTCCAGGGATGGAGAAGGAGATCCCGGTGTTGGACATGATCATGCTGCTGGAGCTGGAAGGGTCCACTCGAGGAGCTTCATCGCTGCGTTCATGGACGTCCTGGGAGGAAGAAGAAGAATTGTCAACTCACATTGTTGAGCCGTCGATGTTTCTCACCTTGGAGAGGTTGTCGATGTTCTTCTGCTGTTCCTCCATCATCCGCTTCACTTCCTGCATCTCGTCCTGGATAGGGGCGATGGCGCCTTGAATGATCTCTTGACTCTGCCGCAAGGAGTTAAATCAACGGCAAACGTGACAAGCCTCGTGAACCTCTCTCCGGCGCCTTTCAGCTGCCCTTGCCTCCTTCATTCTCTCCTCCTCTCGTGCAACTCTCTCGATCCGAGCTTCCCTCGTGTCTTCTGCCTCTGAGAAAGAGTCCACAGCAGTGTCGTCGTTGGAGGGTTCAGCGTCGTCGGAAGATTGCGTCTCAGCAGCGGGAAGGTCTCTGATCTTCCTGTTGAACTTGATCTTGATGTACGGCTCACCGTCCTGCAAGATCTCTGGATCAGTTGCATCCTCAAGACCACCACTCAGGGCATCTACCTCGCCGATCCCGTCCTCCACGGCCTCGGCTCCTCTCTTCACCTCTCGCTGCTTCCTCATTCGCTCGAAGTAATCGTGGATGATCTTGTCAACAGCAGGAGAGTATCCTCCCGTCTGATCGACCGGGGCCGGCAACTGCCGAGCTCGCGATGCCTCCTCCCCAAACATGTTCTTGTACCGCTCGAGTTCCTCCGCCACCTTGGGATCGGCCTGGAACTCTTGGATCCTCTCTCGCCCCTCGGCACTCTCCGGCATGTACCCAGGAGCGGATGGAAACCTCGACAAGTCATCCCAGGAGATGATCTTTCCTTTGACATCTGGATCGTAGACCCCCAGCACCTCCTTCGCCTCCTTTGCAAAAGCCTCCCTGTCACCAGGTCGGATGAGCCATTGGTTCGCTTTCACCTTGACATGGTCCTCTGGAGAGAAGTTCTTGATGAAAGGCTGCTGCGATGGAGAATCAAGATTGCCCATCGCTCGCTGGTAGATCATTCTCCCAGCTCCTTCCGCATCTTCCGGGTGCTGCCATCTTTGCCAACCTCCGTTCGCCCACTGGCTCTGCAGCCATCCACTTGAGCCGGGGAGGCTTCCTTGAAGCAAGGAGGAGGAGGGGGAAGAGGATGGGGAAGATGTGTAGACGAGGAGGCATAGGAGGAGGACGCTGGATGTTCCCGCCAGCACCGCCATCCTCCTCCCTACCGCTCCACCGAGCGGCGCCATTGCGAAGAGTCGCTGGTTTTTGTATAGCTCGGAGTTTTAGTTTTGCTCAACCACCCTTCCTTGGTGAGTTCCAGTACCACAAAATAAAAATCAAGTTTTACTTTCATACGAACAATATTTATTGACTCAAGCATTGAGTACTATATTTAGTGTCTTTTCTAACTGTCTAAAATGGTATTTTCCTTATAAAATATGTAATAAGTCCCCCGATGCTCAGCAGCCCCCGAAGGTATGCAGGGCCGGGGCTGGCAGGCATGGCATTTGCTCCCCCCACTCTCCTCCTGCGTACTCACACCTCCATGATCGTCTCCTCCCCTCAGCAGCAGCTTCGTCCCCATCCGCTTACTACGAGTCCTGCCGGATCGACCTCTGCAACCCGTCCCACGAGAGCAAGCTGTTCGCTCTCAATGTTGTCGGAGGAAGGAGGAGGGGCTTCACTGGTCGACCTGGCGCTTGACTTCCCGTGGTTCTTTGTGCCTGGACTGACTGCTGTCTTCTTCTTGCTGGCAAGGGGGCGATCGATTGGCAGATTTTTTGAAGATATCCTGGACTTCCTTGACCAAAAAGGAGGGTATGTGATCACAGAAGAGCAGCTCAAAGGAAAGAGCACGAGCGAAGATGCTGAAATCAACTTCAAGAGCATCGAAGAATCGTTCAACAAACCGAAACCTTTGCAACAGGATGAGAACATCAACGTCTTCCTGCTGTAACAGTCACTCCTTCTCGTCCTCTGATGCTAACGGGTGTTACCAGGATGCTACTGATCGCGCCATTACTAGGGTGGCTGCAATGGGCAATCAAGACCGGCAAGAACCTTCCATTCTGAGCACATCGGGGAACACAAACACGCTTCATTCACATTCCTTGGGGTCCATGACGATGCGACTTCGAGTTGAGAGACAGAAGAGAAGGAGTGTCCGCTCCGAGAGGGTTACGTACGTGTCTATCATGTTCTTTTATTCATTACACCGGCACTTATGAACACACGGTTCAGATGACTTGTAACTGTCGGGTTTCAGTTTGTGAGACATGGAAGCGTCTTCCCGTGTAGGGCATACGTTACAGCGAAAATCCCCCCCTCTTTGACCTGTAGCGCCTTCAGACCAGGGTTTACAAGTATGGTGGTGCATGGCAGAGGCAATCTCAACATCGACTTCGTACCTGAAGCTCCCTCAAGTGTTGTTCCAAGACACGCCTTGGCATCTTCTTCACCTCGTCTAAGGTCAGGTGGCTCTTCATCAGCCGGCTGATGATCATCTGGGATGTTCTCTTGCAGTCAAGGATTCTTTGAAGTTTTCCTTGCAGCTCCACTCTCGCATTATCCATCGGCTTCGTGGGGAGAACAAGAACTTTGCTCCACTGTCGTTCAAACTTGTGCGTCAGTGCCGGCAGCGCAACAGGCTCAGATGATACCTCACTGATGAAGTTGTTGCATATCACACAGACTGGAGCGACTCTAACAAGGTAGAATGTGGATGATCGAAGGCTTTCAAGCGTCAAAGTTGATGATTGACTGCGATGTTCACCCCAACTCGGATGGAGACAGAAGTTTCCGAGCTGCATGGTCTGTACGACGTACTCGGTCGTAGCAGGGCACATGAGGCCATCCCACTCGATGGTGATGCTGTCTGGTGACGCTTCTGAGCAGTTAAGAGCCAACGGCATCTAAAAATACGTCAGATGTTCCGACTGGGATCGACGATTCCACCAAGGAACTTACCATGGGGGCAGAGACATGTGAACAGGGTGAAACAGTTGGAATCTCGAAGTTCACGTCCGTACAAGGTGAGGCAGTAGAACTGCAATGACAGTCTGCATCGGTCTGTGAGAACTTGTCGCATGAGCACGTAGGATGCTGCTCCTTGTCACAGGGGCCGGGAGGGCTCAACACTGGTGATTCCGTCTTGACGTGTATGGGTTTGCTGCTGTAATGATTCTCTTTCTCCTTTGCTATAATCCGAAATGCGTACTCTCTCCCCGGCAGCAGATTCCTTCTTACAAACCATACCGCCTCCTCCACAGCGCCTGGTGCTCGTCGCTGGAACTCGGCTTGCATCTTGAATTGTTCTTGAGCGTCTAGCACGGTCGTCCATGCTCCATGTCTGAGCTCATGAACATCATAGCTCGTGATGCTTCTGCATTCATTCTTCCAGAAGAGACTGACCGAGTTGTTTGTCGCGTGCACATCAACGTTCTCGATGCTTCGAAGATGATTCTGCGCGAGTGTTTCGAACATTGCTTCATCACTCCACTTGCTGTAGTGCGGCCCGCATCTTGCCCGTATCCTGACCAGATAGACCGTATGTGACTGCAAGTGAGAGATCCAGATTCTTTCCCCGGGGTATGCCTCAGATGCTGTTCGCCATGTGCTTTCTAAATGTCTCCTTACTTCAATGTGGTAGCATGTGCCTGGAACATGTTTCTGTGACCCTCTCCAGGCGATTAGGAGTGCGTCATGAGATCGTTTTATACACTTTGGCTGCACGGGAACAGCAGGCAAGATACATCTCACATCAGGGAAGATCTCAAGACCAGATACCTTGCGATGTGCAAGCTTCCTGCGCTTGAACCCTCGCACGTCTCCGCTCGAGTTTCGCTTCATGATGCGATCGATTGTGTACAGCAGGAACTTGTTCCGCTGGGAATTCTGGAAGGGCAGCTGCTCTGCTTTCAGATGACTTGCCTCCGATGTCCCTAGCGCCAGCATTCGCGATCGCGATTTTTTGCCTCTTTTCCGCTGCTATCTGAGGAGGAACAGTGGCAGGGAACAGAATTGAGTACCCTACCACACACTTTTTATTTAACCCCCTTTTGTACCCGTACACTGCACGGATATTCCATGGTTTATATAGGGGTAGGGTACAGTTCAAAGGTGGGTAGGGTAATAAGGTTGTGCAACCTGAAATCCAAGAGGGCAGGTCGAGGAACACGTGATCATCACGTGATCAAAATTCTCCATCACGTGAGATAGCCCACCGTAGTGTGTCACCCCACGTGACCTTTTTGACCGTAGTAAAGATGTGGTCAAAGGAGTCACTGGGGTTTAACTGCAGCGTGACAGGACCCTTTTGCGACGTGACGGGAGCGGGCCAAAGACACGACCGCTCCCCTCCCAACGTGACCCTCGGGCCCGGGGCCCCCGCCGGCCGGCCCGGCCGGCCACCGGGCCCACTGTCTGGCACCGTCGGACGTCATGGGCGGCCGGGTCGGAGTGACTGGCACACAGGCCCGGTCTCACGGTTACTCAGCCTCCGGCAAAGTCGCACTCAAGTTAAGTTCAAAACTGATCAGTTGAATCAGGCTCGGGGAGCCGCGGCCCCGGAGAGTCGAGAAGGCTTGACACCCTGACACTGTCGCAACGGCGCCACACGGCGAGAAGCCTGAAAAAAGACTGCCACGGAGACCTGCGGTGGCAACTCCCGGACCCTAAACCCTAACCCCTAACCCCTAACCCCTAATGGCCCCGCGCCCGGCAACTGTGCCATGATGCCCGGCCAGCGACGCCGGTCCGAGCCGCTGTGGCCGCCGAAGGGCCCGGCTAATGAGACTCAGGCCTGAGCCGCTGTGACGAACTTCTCAGTCTGAAGGCGAGTCACGCACTGCCGACACCGTCTGAGTCATACCAACCTTCTGAGTTGTAACGAGACAGTTTTTGCTCAAGACCGAGCCTTTTAATGCACACAAAACCATACTCGATGATTGAGGAGCACATGAGAGATAGACTGTACGGTGAGGCTTGCCCCTGACACGGTCGCACAGGTTCAAGTGACGGCCGTCGGAGAACTTCGAGAAAAGGCAGTGAGCCTCCCACTGGCATCATCAGGGCCCGCCGGCCCGGCAGGCTGCCCCGGCCGCCCCGGCGCCGACTCCGGGACGGAGGCCCGGGGTCACGGCAGCTCCCGGCCTAGCTAGTACTAGCAGTTTCTTCAAGACGGAAAAATGGCGGATTGAACAACAATGAAGCATTGGAACGTGTTTGTGACACGTCAAGGAGAGGTAAACATCAGTATGTTCACAACATGTATCAAACACTCAACAACTTGTTGATATCTGTGATCGTCTACTCGTTTCTCAACCGTTCCACATTTCACTTGTTTGTGTGTTTTCTTTCCTTACATTGAAATGAACATACACAGGATACATGCCTGATAGGCTGCTATCTAAGTTGAGTTAGAGCAATCTTCCTGCCCTTGTACTTAGAGTCACTGTCATGAGATGATGGCGAGCGGTATGACTGGCCGATGGTCAGCGCCGAGTATCCTCCCTCTCTTTCTCCTCCTGCTCCTGGTGGGAGGAGGCGTCTCAGAAGAGGCCTGCAAGACAGCAGCGCAGGGGCAGCAGTGCAGCTCCCCCATCTTCTACGGGGTCGATGTTCTCCTTGACAGTCACACGGTGAGGTCTCTCAAAAGGGAGGGAGTCTGCCAGTAAGGATGGAGTCAGGTGCTGTTGACGGAAGGGACGGAAGAGGAGATACAGTCTTCTGACTGGAACGGAAGGTTTCCAATGCACCATGTGAGCGCAGAGGCTGCACTTCTCTCCTCCCGCACTGACTGGCATGCAGGTGGCGGAGGACGACACGTGTAAGGTGGAGGATTTTGCGCTCCTGTGAATCACCATCGTCCCGATCCGCTTGACAGGTGCTGGGGCTGGAAGAGCGGGATGCTGCGGTCCGAGTGTGGGATGTGAGAGGAGGCAATGAACGGGTTTTTCGTGCTGACGGTGAGAATGACTTGTACAGGCGTTCACGTTCTTCAATGAGGTCGAGATTCTCAAGGTGGTAGGAGGGAAGGGGAGGACGGAGGAGGGAAGCGATAGAACGGAGGGAGGACGGAGGAGAGAATAAGGAGGAGGGATGAGATGGAGAGGAGTCTGGAGGGAGGAGGGAGGAGGGAGGAGGGAGGGGGAGGAGGGAGGAGATGTTTTTCGGGATCACCCCTTCTGTAGGTTCGGCTCAATACGCTGCGAGACGTTGTGCACAAGTTTGTTCTGGTCGAAGCGACACGAACTCACTCGAACAAGTGAAGATTGCGCTTCCAATGATCAAGACACGCTGAAGATGTCAAGAATAGGCCAAAGAGATTGTTCTTTGACGAACAGAAACACATCTTCGATGAGTTTTCTTCCCAGATAGTCCATGTGATTTTTGTGTCAAACAGTTTTCTGCACCATTGACGTTGTGGCTTTCTATGTCAGGTTGTAGTTAATGACCTGCCAGATAGTGAAGATTCGTGGTTGTTGGAGCATTTTCAAAGGAACGCGATCACAAGAGGGCTCGGTGAGAACAGGAGCACCTGACACGTGTTGAATGCTCCACTATGTATACATGTCATGGTGTAAGATTGTTCTTGTTCGATACTCCGATGATCTCACGATCACAAAGTTGATTGTGTCTAATCTTCATTCTCTCTATTCTACTTCGACCTGTCATATCTCCCCCGCTTCCTCTTCCCATCTGCTGCTCCTTACTCCCCCTCTTCCTCCTCTTCCTCCTCCTCCCTTCCCCCTCTCCTCCCGATTCCCCTCCTCCTTGTCCATTGGAATGTGCTGCGTCCTGGTTGATATTCCTTCTTTCGGTTCTCCTCAGCATCAGCATCTCCACAAGACCTCGTCATCGTCAGTGACGTTGATGAAATCCCCACGCCGCACGCTGTGATCGCATCCTCTTGCACTATCCGACGAGTGAGGCAGTGATCGCAGATCCGTATCCTCAAAGAGTGTGAGGGATGGGACCAGAGTGGGCCGGTGAGGCGCTGAAGAGGAGGAGAGAGGAGAGAGGAGAGAGGAGAGGAGAGAGAGGGGAGAGGGGAGGGGAGAGGGGAGAGGAGAGGGGAGAGGAGCAGAGAGGAGGAGAGAGGACAAGAGAGGACAAGAGAGGGAAAAAGAGGAGAAGAGAGGAGAAGAAAGGGAAAAAGAGGAGAAGAAAGGAGGAGAATGGGAAGGGGGATGGGAATGGCGACGGCACAAGAGGACGTTTGCTTCTCTTGGTGACTCATTCTGCCGCAGATTCATTTTTTCACGAGATTCTACAACTTCAAGTTCACTTGGCAGTTTGAGGCCATGTGGTTCCATCCACAGGTGCTCCTCCTCCTCCCCTTAACTTTCCCCGTCCCCCCCCTTTCCTTGTCCCCGTCCTCGTCCTCTTCCCCTCGTTTTTCCCTGCCGGCTGTCCGTCCGTTTCCCTTGTCTCTCACCTTCCCCTTAGGCCTCCACCTACGACTGGATCACAAGGAACTCTCCTCAGACCCTCCGCATGTCCAGGACGCGCCCCTCCTTCCTCCGTCTCGACGATGCCGGGTGACACTGCTCTGCTCCTGCCTCCTCCCTGCCTCCCTGCCTCCCGTCACCCTCGCCTTCCCTCCCTTCTTCCCCCCTCCCCCTGTTCCCTTCCTCTATCCTCCTCCTCTCAACTGCGAAGCAGGTGGCACATGTCCTTCTTTGCAGACCCTGAGAGGATCATGGAGAAGATCAGGGCCTACGCGCATCAGGTGCCTCCCTGCCTGCTCGTGCTTGTGCTTGTGCTTGTGCTTGTGCTCGTGCTCGTGCTCGTGCTCCTTCGTCTTTCTCGCTATCTCACAGCAAGCAAAGGAATTTAACCGGCAGGACATGCTAGACAAGGAAGCGATAACGCAGGTGACCCCTACCCCCCCTCTTCCCCAGCTTCTCTCCCTTCATATCATCATTCCGCCTCCCTTCATTCAGTTTTTTCACCTCCGTCTTACCGTTAGCGCAGGCCATAGCCAATGGGACTGACTACTTCTATGCCCATGGTGCTTGCTCCGTTTCTCCCCACCGCTCCTCTCCTCTCCCCCCTGCTTCTCTCATCGCCTCTCCTCTCACTCTCCCGCCATTCAGGGAAGGGAGAAGTTCGCTTCGGGTTGCTCTTCCACAACCCGACGTGTCACGGGCTCCCAGAGTTTGTCGTTAGGAGGGCCGAGTATGCGAACTGGCTACCGGAAGAGTGCCAGCAACAGTGAGTTCGACCCCTTCCCTTTCTCCCTCCCTCACCCTCCCTCTCCCCCTTCCTCTTTTCCTCTCTCCCTCCTTCACCTCCCCCTCCTTCCTTCCCTCTCTCTCTCTTTCTCCCTCCCTCCCTCCCTCCCTTCTCGCTTCCCTCCTCCTTCAACTCCTCTCGACCCGTCCTTCTGCTCCTCACTGCCTGCATCCATCCACCACCATGACCTCCTCTTGCTCCTCTTCATTCATTTTCAAACTTCTTCTCCTCTCTTCTCGCACACCTTATTCAGCCGTGTGTCCTCTCACACCTACTTGACATAACGGGCAGGTCAACCGAACTTTGACGTTCAGAGTTGAACGCGATGCTGCTCGACGAGGAACCTCGACACCTCCTGCACGGTCCAGTCAGCGAGCAGCAGCAGGGAGCGGGTCGACGGAAGACGCACAACGAAGTCTCGAAGGAAAAACCTCTTGCAGCGTCGCTCGTCCGACTCGCTGCACGCTACAAACTTGTACATCTCGAACAGGTCCTCGACAGGATACCTGGCTGCACGTCAGCATCACGGACTGAGTGCTGTCCTCCTACCCGAGAAGCGCCCCCAGCATGATATGCCCATGGTTCTCCGACATCTCCGTCGTTGCTGCTGTTCGGCGTATGGATGTGGATCGCGTGAAGAACTGGTTCTTCCTCCCTCCCTGGACACCCTCCTCTCCCTCCTTCCATGCTCCGATGAGCCTCAGCGCCGTCGCTGCTGCCTGCAGGGGCAAGGAGGGTTCAGCAACGGGAAGGAGAGAGCATGGCAGGAGCCTAGTGGGCAGGAGGAGAGGCGGAGGACGAGAGGGGAGGGGAGGGAACCTGCGCCCGTTCTTGATTCTCCGGCATGTACACAAGCGTTGGGCCCGACGCTCTGTTCGACTTCTCTCCCTCCTGCAGGGTGCGGGCATGGCAGATTTCGACCAGGTGCTGCATGAAAACGTATCCTCAATGCACAGCTTCAAGCAGCAGCAACCGACCTTGGAGGAGGAGTCGAGCCCTGAAAGGAGGAGAAGCAGGGGAGAGGAGGAGAAAAGGAGAGATTAGTGTGAGCAAGTGCGTCAGAGGATGGAGCAAACTCACGGTGAAGGAGGGCCAGGGGCTTCTGCCCCTTGAGAGTGCACTTTAGGTCATCGCTCTCCTTGACAGCGTAAACCTGCGGCGAAGCATGAGGAGGAGCGAAGGAGGGGCAGCGAAGGAGGGGCAGCGAAGGAGGGGCAGGGAAGCAGCAGCATGAGCAACAGACACTTGTGATGCACCTTTCCTCCGTCTTCGTATACTCGCAGCTGACCGCGGCACGCTTGCGCGCAAGTGGACCTGTTAACGCTCGAAAGCTCGACGGCACAGGAGGAGAAGGATTGGAAGAATGTGGAAATGCGCTGCAGCAGGTCGCTCCTGCTCCCTGGTTCCATGGAGGATACGTTCATTGCTTGTCTGCGCAGGGGTGCGGACGTCAGTGGCAGTAGGAACGAGGGAGGGTGCGGAGATGTTGTTGTTGACGGTGAAATGACTTGTTTTTGTTGTCTGTGGTGAGTGTAGGGAATGTAACATTGTTGCACATGCTGTATATCATCCGTTGCCTTCCCTGCTCCTCCTGCTCCTCCTCCTGACCTCTCCCCCCCTCCCCCATCCCTCCTTGTCTCTCCATGGCTTCTCCTCGCCGTCGCGCCCCCCAATTGTGTCATACGCATTTTCGCAACCAGTCATCATGGGGCGCATATCATCAGCAAATCAGGGGGGTGGGGGTATTTTAATTAGGGGTTATCAGAGTCAAGTACAATATTGATTTCAACTATTAAAGGGGTGGGGGTATCCACCCTCTTCTTGAGTTGAGATAAGACTGCAGATCTAGGCAAGAAGAGTCTGGCAGATGGGGCGGAGAAGGGAGGGAGGAGAGGCGAGAAGAGCGAAGCGACGGAGAGGAGAGCAGAGCAGAGGAGATCATGGCATGGCATTGCAGGGCATTGCAGGGCAGGGCATGACAGAGCGGTGGGAAGGAGCGAGGAGGAGGTCAAGTAGAGCTGGTTGGAAGTAGACCAGACGGAGAGGAGGAGGAGAAGGTCGTATTGCAGATCTGACGCACTCGGATGGGATGGAAAGAGAGGAGATGTGAGGCCGGCGCTGTTGTTATGACGTCCTTGATCAGCGGTGACGTCAACATGATCAAAGACGTATGAGTCTCCGAGCTATTTCCTTCCGCATGCTCCTGCAAGTTCTCGTCCTCCATTGCCTGCTTTCCATGGCTGGCTGCAAGCAGAGCCCGACGGGAGGACTTGCACATGGTCTGCTCCTCCTGCTGTTCTCTACCATCCTGTCCTCTGCCTCCTCCTCCCCTCCCCCCGCATTTCTGCTGAGTCAATCTCTTGCAAGGCTGCGTCAGGCCGGCGCGAGCAGGAGGCTTCACTAAAGTCTGTGCGTGCACTGGACTCCGAACATGCTTGTCCTGTGAGCTCCACTGGGGGAGAAAGGTGAGGAAGATGGAGAGAGGAAGACAAGAGGGAGAGAAGTGAGAGGAGGAGAAGCAGCAAGAGGAAGATCAGGAGGGGAGCAGGAGGAGGGAGGGAGGGAGAAAGGGGTGGGTTGGGGGGTCGGGTAAAGAAAGGAAGCAGAGAGCGGATTGGAGAAAACGGAGCAGGATGAGGATTGAAAGGGAGAGGGTGGGGGAGATGGAAGGAGAAGGAGAAGGAGCAGGAGAAGGAGCAGGAGCAGAAGGAGCAGGAGGAGGAGGAGGAGAAGGAGAAGGAGACGTGACAGGAGGGCGAAGTAGAAGGGGAGCAGGAGGAGCTGACCTAGAGCAGGTGGACGGAGGGTCCAGCGAGATCTCGACGATCACCAAAAAGGTTTTTCTACCCGCAGACGCTTGTCCTCCTCATTCAAAGTCCCAGTGGGCCGGCGGGATGGAAAATTTCCGCCAGTTGCAGTTCTGCAACGGCTGCAACGTGTGCGTTCTACCGTGGGAGCTGGCGGGTCATTCGTGCGTACGGCAGGTGGGATTGTGCTGGAGTTGACGAGCACGTCACTGTGCTGATGGGCAGAGAGTTTTGAACGGGCGGAACAATCATACGCTAGGTCATGTGAGCTGGTACACGCAAGAGACTGGGACGTGCCGGGGGACTTTCTGTATGGACAGAGGAGATGCGTATAGTGACGGTGACGCGGATGAAGGTTTGGAGGGGGTGAAGGAGAGCAGGAGGAGCGTGGTTGTAGGTGAGAATGAAAATGAGCTCTCCTGAGGATGGTGACGACTTTGGTCTTGAAGAAGCGAACTGGGTGGACGTCGAGGAGAGGGCTGGAGGAAAGGAGGGAGACGTTTGAAAGTCTTGTGGCAGATGGGATGCAGCTTTCAGGGAGTAACGGTGGTGGAAGAGTTTATCACAGAGGAGGTGGAAGGGTGCTGGGTCAGGGAAATGGACAGGGTAAGCAGAGGAGGGGAGAGGAGGGGAGAAGATCAAGGAAGAAGAGGGGGATGGAGCAGAGTGAGAGGAAAAGAGTGGGTAGAGGAGGGGAGAGGAGGGGAGAGGAGGGGAGAGGAGGGGAGAGCAGAGAAGACAGTGGAAGGGAGGGGATAGGACAGGACAGGATTCAGGAAAGGAGGGGGGGAGGAGCAGGGCGCGAGGGGAGGCGCGAGGAGGAAGGGAGAGTCGGAGGGGAGGGGAGAGGAGTACATACAGTTTTGCACACCTGAATCTTCCATGCAGGATGATAGACTGTGGATCTTATCGCAGTCGGGGAGGAGGAAGCAGGTTGTTGAGCCTTGTAAGAGAAATTCCCTTGAGAATCTGTTTGCAGGAGTTCGGACCCAAAGTGAATTTTAAAAAGGAGGTGAAGGAAATTTCCCTTCCCACTTTGTTAACTGCCAGCACTACTGCTGCCTTAAATTCTGACTTTCCTCTCCCAACATCTTCTCTTCTCTCCCTTCTTCTTTCTCACCACGTCCTCTCTCCTCTCTCCTCTCCTTTTTCCACTTCTCACCCTCTCCTCTCCTCTCTCTTCACTCCTCTGACTTACAGGAAGTAAAGATCGACCCCTCGGGTACAATTTTCCCGTCCTGGTCCCAGGAGTTTCTTCAGCTGGTCTGCTACCTTGTTCCGTCCGTCCTTTGTGCCCTTTCCTGTCCTCTCTCCCTTTCCCCCCTCCCTCTCTTCCCCACTCCCCCACTCCCTCTACCTTCTTGCTCCTCTCCTTGCCTCCTCCCTCTTCTTTCTGCCCTCCTCCCTCCTCCCTCCTTTCCTTTCAGTCTTGTGATCACTTTCCCGGCGACCTCCCTTTCTCCTCTCTTGATGATTTCCTGCAGTGCTCTTCCTCCTCCTCGCTCCTTTCTGACTTCGAAGCGGTTGAGCTCGGGCTGTTGGAGTATGAGGTGACGTCGCCTTGCCTCGTCCTCCTCGTCCTCCTCGTCCTCGTCCTCCTTCTCCTCCTTGTCCTTGTCCTTGTCCTTGTCCTTGTCCTTGTCGTCGTCCTTGTCCTCCTTGTCCTCCTTGTCCTCCTCGTCCTCGTCCTCGTCCTCCTCCTCTGCTTTTTTGCAGCACTCTACTCACCACTTAGCTGCAGCCGCTCCGAGGGTCATGCATAGCGCCGCACATCGATGACTCCTGGTAGCTGAGGGTCGTTGGAAACGAGCTGACGACGGTCAGGGTGTGGGGGGAGAGAATCGTCATCTGCAGCCTGCTCTCCGACTGCCACATGAGCTTCATTAGGTGCTGCTGCTGCTGCTGCTGCTCCTCCTCCTCCTCCTCCTCCTCCTCCTCCTCCTCTTCCTCCTGTTGCTGCTGCCGTCAGTGCTGCCGTCGTTTCACTCCTCTTTCTCCTCCTCTTCTTCCCTCTCCCTCATTGCCTTTACCTACTGAGTGGTGATGGGATTCTTCATCCTTTCTCCTCACGCATGGCAGGGGGGAGCATGAGGTGAGGGTGCGGCTGCCTCGGAGGTCGATGCTCGTCATGCAGGGCCCGGCGAGGAGATGGTGGATGCATTCGATCCGGTGAGGGGAGAGGAGGGGAGAGGAGGGAGCAGGAGGGAGCAGGAGGGAGCAGGAGGGAGCAGGAGGGAGGAGGAGGAGGAGGAGGAGGAGGAGAGGAGGCTGACAACGCGGTACAGGAGAGAGGACGTGAAAGGGAGAAGAATCTCATTGACACTGCGGGAGCTCTCAGGTGATGGAGGAGAGTCAAGGAGGAGGAAGGATGAGGAGGAGGGAGGAGGGAGGAAGGAGGTAGGAAGGAGGAGGAGGAGGAGGAGGAGGGAGGAAGGAGGAAGGA